GCAAGAAACAAATAAGCGACAAAAGGCGAATTAACCTAGTGGCTTTTCCTCTTCTTCTATACGCTCTGCCCCTTTAGAATATGCGAGATCAGGACTCTCCACAATTTCCTGTTCTTTGTAGCTCTTTGGAAATTTTGTCTTTTTACTACATCTCCTAACACCTCACATGCCAACCATTTACACATAAAGAATCCTTTTTGCATTTTGCCTTGTGAGCGTCAAGTTCTCTATGCCTTCTTACCTCATGATGTATCCTAAAACATCAGCTGTCTTTCTAAATCTAAGTATAACTGTCATTTTTGTTTCCATGAGAACAATTTGCCTCCGTGAATGAAATAAGATTTTGGTTTTATATTCCAAGAAATTTACTAATTACGAAGGTATACACTTGAAAATGGTCGGAATGTATATCGGTCTGTACTTTGTGAGTATAAAAACCAACATGATTATGTTGGTCCAAATAACAATATGTATGTTAATGACAATTACTCATTTTAAACTTCCAAAAAAATGATTTCATAAATTCATTTCGTATGCTGATATTTGATATCTTTTGTGCATTCTTTCGTTTTTCAAGAAATTTTAAACGATGACGTTGTTTTTTTTTCTCTAAAACTGCATATTACAATGTAATCAGGACATCTGCATTTCTTAAATTTAACAACATAATTTAATATATTTTGGGATTTGGTTATATTTAACGTAATAAATAGGGAGAAAAGCCTCAGATTTCGTAAAGTTTTGATATAACTCAATTATTCATTTTCACTCTTTTCGGACTTTTTTTAATTTAAAACATATCAGGGAATTCTCCGAGCGATACACCTAATATGGAACGCAATAAAATCTGTCGCATCGCCGGGCAAAAAACTTTCTGAAGTTTATGGCCAGGGCGGAGGTTTCCATTGATGAAATAACCGGTCACGTTTTCTTGACCAAGGAGACCCATCAAGTTGGAGGACTTTGGATGAGATTTCACGTAGAGATGGATCGGCTCAGCCACTTCTACTTGTCTAAGACATGCTACATATGAATTAATACCTCTCTGGATATTATCTAAGATTTCGCACAGTGGATAAGTGAGCTCATTGACATTGATTCACCGAAATTGAATAAAAAATGTTAACAAAGGAAATACACAAGATCTGTCACATTTTGATAACATTAATTCTACAATAAAGAGACTGTTCACGGACAATTCTAAAACAAGTTTTAAAACGGAAATTAGGAGAAAAACACGTAATTGGCTATATATCCTGTTTATTTCTATTGCTTAATATTGTGAAAAATTATATATTTTAATGAAATATATGTACATAATTGAGATTTTATTGGATAATAAAGTATAAATTTTGAAAAGAAATTACATCGAGATAGCTGAACTACGCGGTTATATTATACTCAAAGATATAAATTATTTCCTGTTTTCATTTTTAGAAACACGGTTTTTTGTTATACTCAAGTCGTATCATACACAAGAGAATAAATTAAATATTTAAATTTATTCTAAACCGGGCATATGTGGAAATTTTTTACTGTATTGTAAACCAGACTTATGTCTAACAATTTGATTCTAAGGAACACCGGACGCTTATCGATTAATTTCTGGCTCTAGTGAACACCGGGGTTATATTTACTCATCTGACATTAGTGTAAACCTATTTGTTATTTCATTGTAATGTTTGTTCTATAAGACACATATTCGATCATAAATATCAGAAGCGTTGGCATATGTTAAATTAATCAACCCAACCTAAACGGCCATGTCGAGAAGTAATTAAAGGAAAATAATATATTCTGGTCTTTATTTAATAGTTTTGGATCTGTGACCAAGTTTCTTTTGTGCGACAAAAGTGTGTTAGGTTAGTTGATTTAAACGACGCACATGCAGCAGACTGTTTGGTAATCAGTGTAATTAGGATAATTTTAATTAAATCGTATTTTCATATATGTTTAATTTCAAAATGGATCCAATTTTCGTATCTCATGGACTATATAAAAATTATAGGACAAAATGTCTGGAATAAATTCAAATTAAATCGCTTATCTCTAATAGAGATAACTGACTTTTTTTTCAGGGGGATTTACACTCCCCACTTCTTATAAAGACAAGGCATTAATATAATATATCAAGCATAAATTTCTTGTAGTCTCAAACACGAGGATGAAATTTTAAACATCACCGATTTTCTAATATAAATATCAATATATAAAGTACTGATATATAATGTTTTAGCCCATAAATCGTTGTCACTTTTTAAAGTTTGTTCAAAGTAGCTGCTAGTTTTCATGCATGTAATTCATTTAATTAAATCTTACTAAGGGGACGGATTTGTTTTTTTTTTTTTTCTAAAACCTAGTAGATTTACTTCATCCCTAAGACACTCAAGTCTCTATCCTGCAAAAAACAAAAAAAACAAAAACAAACGATAGTGATTATGCTGATGACCTAACTATCACAGCAGATATCATCATCATCATCATCATCATCAATGTCAGAGATCCCCTACTTTTCTACTGAAAAGAATTTGAAAATTCGCATAGCTAAAGCCTGGACAGCCTTGCATGAAACGAACGTAATTTTGAAGTCTGCTCTAACATACAACCTCAAACTGACTTTCTTTTGCGCCACAGTTGGGTCAGTATTTAATGTATACTGCCATTGTTTGGACATTAACTAAAACCTTTTTTGTCTAAACGTGATTGTACCTACACACGGATACTGATAGCCATAATTAATATTTCTTGGAGACAACCTCCACGTATAACACAGGCCTATGTGCCCAACTCTGACATTCCGACAATGATGCTTGGACGCAGAATGCTGACGCGCAAGACAAAAAATTGCGAGACATCTATTGGTCTGGACACCTAGCCATTGCGCAAGTGGTCTTCCAGTAACCACAACTCTAAAATGACGGATGATATCACCCTAATGACCTTCCGACCTTGATGCAGAACTGTAATGTTTGGCGTTATAGACTCATGAATGTCCGAGCTAGTTCGAACCAATAATATAGTTGATGGAATATTGCGTGTGAATTAATTACATTAGGTTTTACCGATTACCTATACAATATTTGTGAAAATTTGTTGAAGAATAAAGTTATAAAGTTTGATTCCCTTCGTAATTTGTCAGTCCAGCGATAGTTGTTAATATCGTGAATCATATTCAACTGAGAAATGATATGATAAACGAAATCTCGCGAGTCCGACTTCCAGGACTCTCGTATCATATTCGATATCTACTTGCCACCCCTCGTAGGCAGGAGTCGACACAAAGTCAGTTTAATATAGGGTGACCGGGCGTGTTCCTCCGATCTAGGTCCAAAAATATCACAACAACCGTTGGTTTCGCTGGCTTCAGTATGTTCACCAATTTTCCCTCTCTAGATCAATGACGGGTGCCGTAAGGGGTACACTGCATCAGGCTATCTGTTCCCCGGGAACGGGCAAATGTAACTATATTTTTTTTAGTTAATCTTTGTCCGAAAACAATTTACTCAACTGAGAGTTGATAAACGAGATACGACACCGCAAATCTCGCAAGTCCGACTCAAAAATCACGTATATCGTATTTTGGTATATACTTGTCTCCCGACGGTGAAGGTATGTAACAGAAGATCGGTTTCATGTGGGGCCACTGAGTCCGTACATCCGGGCCGGGTCCCAAAATTGCCTAGTCCCCGCAACCATTGGTTGCCTCGGCAAACGTATCACTACCGATCCTCCTTCTCTAGTTCAATGACGCGGGCAGCTGCTCCCCGAGACCAGGTAGCTCTCTAATTTTTGGTTGCGCTTTGTCCGAAGACAAAGACACAACTTGGCTGTGCTATGTCTAAAGACTGGCATAAATGATAGATGATAAACGAGATACGACAAACCGAATCTCTCAAGTCCGACACGCAAGACTCGCGTATCGTATTCTACCCCATGGCTCAGCTCTTATATAAACTCTATGACTTAGCTATGCTAATTAGGCAGTTATTTATAGCGATTTTCCAAGCATAGCTTAGATGTCGCACAAGGCCGAAAATAGGAGACAACCAGTGAGGATAGAACTCACTACTCAGTCGTAATTGCTTTATCTAGACACGCTTACGAACCATTACACCGCCTCGAGGTGCCCCAGTGATTTTTCAAGCGTAGCTTGGATGTGGCAGAAAGCCAATAGTAAGGGACACCTAGTGCGGATTTATCTCACTGCTCAATCATAATTGTTCTAGCGAGATGAGCTTGCTAACCATTACACCACCTCGAGGTGCCCTAGGCTGTTATCTATATATCATTCAAGAATCTTCATAATTCTGTTATTCAAAAGTGTATCTGAACCTGGAATTTGACTCGATCTGCTCTGAGTGTCATTAACTGTGCAATTAAAATTATCAACTAGCGTAGAAGCGTTTAGGAGACCAAATTTTGCCTATGAAGGGAAACATATTTTACCAAGCAAAAAAAAATGAATCTAATCATTTTTTTAGAATTATAAAGTGAAATATCGAGGACAATAATATTCATGTCCGCATGTGAAATGAACGAGAGTTTGAAATATTCAGGAATATTGAAAATCAGTTCAACTGACAGATGTTATTGAAAATGCCCAAGGCTCTGCTCATTGAGTTGTTTTGAAAACCTCTTTATAACTGGGAAATTTTGGAGGATCAGGAATGATATGAAATTGGAAAGTTTCATTTGGAGATTACAACTACTCATAATATTATTACTGATATTTAATAATAATTTTTTATTTTAGTTTTTGAATGGCAATTCACCCAGCAAAATATGATTTGCCTGTCGAAAAACATCATGCAATCACTAAGCACAATCCACTCTCCTATAAAAACCAATGCCATGTGGGTGGGGGAAGTGAGACCATCTATTAAGAGGTAATTGTAGGCGTTATTATTCATTTTGAGGTAGCTTCGTTTTAACGAAGCTAGTGTATGTACGGAAGCGCATTATCTCTTATAATTTATATTCCTTTTTTCTTTAAATTGCACCACTATCACGTTTAAACTACGGGTTTCCATTGGATCTCTGAAGTTAAGCAATATCGAGTCTAATCAGTACCAAGATGCGTGACCGCTTGAGAATATCTGGTGCTGTAAGCCTTGTCTGTGTGAGTAGTACAATGGATAATAACTTTGGATTGTTAATCAGACTACAGAGTTTAAGTTCCGGTCGACTTCGTTAAATTTACTTCCTAGCAAAGACCATTGGAAAAAGTATGAATCCATCTTTTCTTCCCCAGCTGTGTGTTAATTTGTAAGACATTTATCACTAAATTATCCTTACCAAAAACCATTTCCTACAATATAAAATCTTTCCTGGGTTTAAATAAACTGTAAAGGGCTGGTAACCGATAGAAAACGAACTCATCACAACATTTTTTTATCTGGCTTAATTCCCAACTCTCCTCCCCATTAACTTACAGATTTCAGTTCTCTTGTATATGTGTGATTATTTCCGACTAGTGTCTTTTCGTATTTCTTATTTCGTTTGAATTCTTTTGTGACTGAGTGGGTGACTGTATAAAATCTAACTGAAGAAATTCCACACTTTCTAGTTAACTTTCTAGGTATTTCTGTTATGTCTGCAGCGATTAGGATTGTGGGAGTTTTGTAATAATGTCAGACATTTTCTTTTGTTCTTTAGATATGTGAAGAAAAAAATATGAAATGCAGTTATTCTTTTCATAACACGCCAAGAAAACATCTACATAGGAGACGAGTTATGATTACATAGAGAAATTTCTATATTATGGTGTCTGTTAGGCTGAATCGGAAATGAGGTGTTTTGCTGAAACGGGAAACATCCAGGCAGATAGGTCACTGATAATATCTAGCTAATTTAACAATAATATTGTGAATAACATCCCTCCCCTTCCCTATTGTGGCCACGTCTCAGCTTTTTACCATTCCTGCAATAAATATTAAGACATTGAAAAACTTCCAAAATTGCTGTCGAAAAGATCACAACGATGACTTATAATCACGTGGTACAATACACGAATCCCAAACAAAAATTTATGACACTACCAAACATAAACAAACATTCATCTAAAAATCCAAATGCTGAATGTGTGATAGAATTTTAAATAATTCCTTTACTTTGAGCAAATGCCAGAAAAGTAGTTATTTTTATATGTACGGCGTCTCTTCATGTCAGGGCTGATCATGGTCCTCTACAACGTCCTATTATTTGTAGCTTTTTTAAAAAAAAGTTTTGTTTCCTTAACACCCGCTTCCAGTTTCTGTTCTACCATCCATTTAGTCGAATTCGCTCAGTAGGTGACCCAACGTTTCCCTCTATGACACCTTAACTTCTCTCTCTACCGAAATCTTTAAACCAACCGCCCTAATTGTGTTCCAAACTTTTCGGCTGTCACTTTCTGATTCTAGCTATAAGTGTACTATTTGTTCTTATTTACCGTTAATCTTCCTTGTTAGTCATATGTTCATTTCGTGGTATTTTCATCATCATTCTTTAAAAGCACATCTCATTTGTCTCAAGTCTCTTCTTCACCTGTGTGGAAATAATCGAACAATATATGCTGCCATATAAGAGTGCTAGTTTTTTTTTTCAGCTTTGCTTTATTATCTTGTTGTGTAGGTTCTATCGTTTTATTTCTGTCTTCTATTAACACGATATTGAGTCACCCCCCACGAGGGTGTCATGTGGCACAAGGCCTTTTTAACGTGGGCAAAAATATGCCCATTGAACCCTTATAAACGGGTTCAGGGCCGTTTTTACCTCCCCGAAGGAGACTCCGCCTTTCGGCGTAGCGTCCTTCGGGTTCCTCCCGTCCTTAGGAAGAGAGTTCAACCCAGTAGTCGGTTCAAAAGTGAACGACTGACTCTTCTATTAACACAGTAACATTTGAGCATCTTACAGTATTAAGATTGTGCCCAACTGGTAATAAAAAGCAGGTATAACTTCATGTTCTCTTAGGATTGTAAATGTTGAATAAATGCGTTGAGGACACAGATGTCTTTACTTAATCAAAAGTGCCATATAGGAAGACCGACATTACACAGCACTTTCAGCGCCCTTCCTTTCTTTTCCAACTACCTTTTCCTGTTTCTTTATTAACGTTTAAAGGAGGATTTGTAATGTAATCGGGTCAACCTAGCATCTCATCTTATTTTCTCTCCGCCGTCACGTGGCTTCCGACTCTAAATGTTTTCATGACAATTGATTTGGTCTTTCCTCTATGCCGCTTCGCCTGAATGAACTTAAGCGTGCTACTAGATTGGAGAGGTGGCGCAATGGAGTAATGGGTAGCGGGTCGGATTGAGGAATCGGAGAGCCGAGTTCGAATTTCAGTCGCAATCCATTGCATTCACTTACGTACTTGGGAAAGGTATGAATTCTCTCCTTCTCCCCCAGCTATGGGCAAATAGCAGGATAGACCGGGTTCTATAGCCTTGGATAGCAAGTAGTCTACCGCAAACTATTACGAGACAAAATCTGTCCCCTCAAACATGTATCGCAAGATACATGATCGCCTACGCGTGTATCACGCATGGCAGCTAGGTCTCACATTCTTACTGTTGAAACAGCGAGATGTAAACATATTTTCGCACATTCCTCGCTGTTGTAGAGTAGTTTCACAGTGGAGGCTTGTATTTTACTAAGTCGGTCCTGAAATAGGTTCGACGTACAAAACGTTAGGAACTTGATACAATAGGTAATGACGCAGAGAAATCTAGTGGTGGTCGCTGATACTTTTAGTATCCGACTAACGGTCGTCCGACATCGACTGACTGACCAACTCGCTGAGCGATATTCAGTCACCCCGCCACGAGGGCATCATATGGCACAAGGTCGGTTTAACGTGGGATATCCGAGCCCATGGGCTCGGCCAAAAATATGCCTTTTAAACCTGTATAAACGGGTTCAGGTTCGGTTTACCTCCCCGAAAGAGACACCGCCCTTCGGCGTAGCCTCTTTCGGGTTCCTCCCGCCCGAAGGCAGAGAGTTCAACCGGTCAGCTGGTCGTCCGACTTCAGATTGAACTTAGACCAACTCACTGAGCGACCTCACGACTATTACTACTACTACTACTACTACTACTACTAATTATTATTATAGGTGGGAGAGTCTATTAACTATAGAATAGGTTTGTTTCACTATAACACTCGCCTAGCACTCTAATCAGGTGTCTTACAATCTTAATAGGCTTAAATTAAACTTCAGTCGCCATCATCTTCCTTCATGAAAACTGTTCTTTTATTGATCTTTCTACTCACCAAAGTCTTCTCATACTCCTTCATTTCCAGTAGCCCGTAAAGTCTTAGTGGCTTTTTCACCTATATTGTGGTATAATGATTACAAAAATAGCAACACCATATGTTCGTCCGATATGATGATGGGGAACGTGCATAAAACTCACTACGTTAATGATAGACTCTGTATTATATTACGATGATGACTAGACACGTTTACACTTAGAATAATATATTTATTTCGCTCTATGACTCTATGTAGCACTTGAGAAGCTATATATATATATATATATATATATATATATATATATATATATATATCGGTACTTGCATTTTTCTCTACCTTACATTCGTCTGGGAGAAACTCAGACCATTCCGAAATGATTCTGTTCAGTTATGTGCCATGCGTGATACACGATTAGGCAATAATGTATTTTTCGATACATGACTGACGAGACAGATTTTTCTCACGCACTAGTTTGTCATTTCTTTCTGCTGTAGACCAGTTGAAACTCAAGGCTATAGAAATCGGTCTGTCCTGCTATTTATACATAGCTGTGGAGAGAAGACGATTCATTCCTTTCCCAAGGGTATTAGCACGTAAGTGACGGTAATTATTTCGACTGGAATTCGAACTCGACTCTCCGATTCCTCAATCTGAGCCACTATACGCTACCCCACCGTGCCTCATCGAAATGATTACTGGAGCAAAACGGCGCACGATAACTAACTATCGTCTCTTTCTGGCTGTATGAGAGTATAGTTTATTTAGAGAAACACGGATGTACAGTTCTTCTAATCACCGATTCTTGAATAGCGTAACTAAATTGAAATATCTTTATACGTAGAAGAATAGACCTTCTTATTTATTTTATTTATTTATTTTTTTTAAGGATGTTTGAATAATCCAGAACTTTGAGTGGGGAAAAACATCCTTCCTAGCGATAGAAAACCGATTGATTAGGTTCACAAAAATAGAAAGGGTCGTAAAACAAGGATTTGCTTCTCACGCCATTTATTCAACCTATACAGAGAACTTGAACTCATACCAGGATTTATTTTCGGTGGCCACAATCTTAACAAAATAAAATATGGAGATGCCACTGTTCTGATAGCAGACGCAGAAATAAAATTACAGGACATCCTAGGCAAAATAATAAGGGATAGCTGGAAAAAAAAAACCTAATTAATTATCAGAGGACAAAATTTTTGTCAGCAAGAGAAGAATACCGAAGTTTCGAGCTACGAATTGGAGATACGAAAATAAAAGAAGGAAAGGAGAAGAGGGAAAATGTGATGCAAACATCCGATTTCGAATTGGAATATCTACAGTTGCCTTCCAAAAAACAGGAAAATTCCGTTAGAACCTCGTTAAAAATAAATAAAAGAGTGCAGAAATGCTATGAATAATGACAGTGAATGCTGGACAATTTTCCCACTGACTCGAGGTATCAGAGTTATTATTGTACAAAAAGATGCAGAGAATGCATGGATGTCAACGTGGGAATTCTGAAGAAAAATGCAAGAAAACAGACAATTATGCATAAAATACGAAAGAGATAGTTCAAATTTATGGAATACATAAAGAGAAGCAGGTCTGAAAAATTTGACCCTCATATATTGAAGGCCAGATCCACGAAGGGAAACTGCGAATAGCCGAAATAACGAAATTTTGTACATGGATGTCAGGAATGTAGAAAGATAGTAAAAAAAAGAACATTTCTATGAGCTATGGAATTTAGGAACTTGTGCAAAGCTATGATAGTCCCAGTCCTGAAGAAACACGGCACACAGAAGGAGGATTTATTGTACGTGTGTGCGCATTCAATGAGAAGTTGTCTGTGGCGTAATAGTTAAAACTGCGGAAAATAGAATAGGCTGGAAGATTTAAGATTCGAACTGAGTGTGTTTGTGTTTATATTGCATTTATTTTACTTATTTCCCCTAAAACTATGGTTTCTTTAACCGGCCAGACTGACCTATGTTGATTTTGTTAGGTTAAGAGTAGACATAATGAAAGAATCAGCGATTATCTTAGTTTCTGAGGCCACTCTTAGTAGGCTGAGCATAGAAATGAATACGATATGGGAGCTGTTAATAAATAAATAAATAAATGAAGATAGATAGATAGATAGATAGATAGATAGATAGATAGATAGATAGATGACAGCAAACATCAGTAGCATAAAAAAAGATAAGCCGCTTTGTTAGTGAATTTGATGACATATTAATAATGACTTCAATCCCTGGTTCGAGCAATATGTACTTGGACTCTCTAGATACGGGACAAGCAATAAATAAGGACTAGACGAAATATAACAAGGAATATTGTATTTATTTCGCTCGAGGTCAACTAAGAATGTCTTCATGACCAAACATATCAACTAATTCGTTCCAATGGAAATACTTTCATAGGGATTTTGTTACGGTTTATCGCCCTTTGCATATTATTTGAAGTCAGAAATATAAGATTTCAATATTTTTTTTACGTAATACTGATACCCTGATACAAGTACTACTATTGAACCCATAGATGGGGAAGTAGTAATAGATTCATATAGTTTCCAAGAGTATTAACTCATAAGTAAATATAACGAAATCGACTGGAATTGGGACTGTGTTCTCGGATTTCGAAATCACAGTTGTTATCTATTGAACCACACGTAGACCCAAGCTTAAATCACCGGGGATTTCCAAGCAGCTATCTATGTACAGACCAAGATCGATGTTGCTTATCGGTGATCGTAGGAGAATCTGTGTTTCAAAGTCATTTGGCCGTCTGTTTGGAATCAGCGATTTTATTAATTAATTTGCTTCTAATTTCATATTGCTAACTAACCTATTTGTTTCCTTTTTGTTTTGTATTTATATATTCTTTCGAGAAAAGTTGGCTCCCTGAGCCGCGCTAGGAAGTTTTTCTCCCCTGAGTCGATCCTCCAGATATACAAATCCACAATTCGCACTTGCATGAAGTATTGCTGCCATATATGGTCTGGCGCCCCTTCTGTTTGCCTCGGGGTTCTTGATAGGCTCCAGAGGCGGATATGCAATGTCGTTGGCCCTGCCTTGGCGTCTCGTCTACAGTCACTTCCTCACAGACGAGCCGTCGCCTCCCTCTGTCTGTTCTACAAGTACTTTCATAGAAAATTGCTCCGAGGAGCTGCATTCGCTGGTTCCCAGACGTCATGAGTTCCAGCGACCTACGAGGCTGGCATCCCGCTCTCACCCCTTCACTGTCAAAACTCCTAAATGTAGCCGTCTCTTCTACTCTAATAGCTTCATGTCTCGCAACTCTCGCCTGTGGAACTCCCTTCCCTTCTCTTGTTTCCCTGTGAGCTATAATCTCCTGCTATTCAAGTGTAATGTCAATCGACATCTCCAGTTGCCTTAATCTATCCACTACCCTCATCCTTTCTTCTATCACTCCTATCTGATCTTGCTATTTTCTGTAACCCCTTGCGTCCTAGTGGCTTCCCGCCTTGCTTGGGGTGAAACGCTTAAAATAAAAAAAAATATGTCCGTTTGTACTGCTCTAAGAAAAACATCATTTTGGACTAATTGAAAGTATCACATTGATTTTTTTTTTCAAATTCTTCATTCAGTTATCCAATAATCTCTTCTATATACCATGTCCTTTCAAAGAATAAGCGATCGTGATTCTTCACAACTTCCTATCCCATGTCGCCCTAAGCAGTTTTTCTGCCTTTGCTAAGATTTCCACCCTTGTTCTACCATCCATTAAATCAAGTTTGTCAAGCAATGGGATTCTTTCCTTTCGCTGTCTATCATTCCCCAATATGCTCCATGAGGTTATATATTTTCCGAAGCTTTCACCTACGTTATGTGTGCAATGAATTTTAGCTTTATTTTCCACATTCTGAGTATAAGAATTCTTTCCGTTGCCATTTTCTTGAAGTTATTCTTGTTGCTTACTGACATTTCATTTCAGCTGCCTCTAGTATTTTCCTCTTCCGTGGAGAGATTGTCCAACTTTCTCTCTCATATAAGTGGATGGATATCACGTAGCAATCCAGCACTATGTACTTTGTTACTAACGATATTTTTTTTCCGTTCAGCAGTATTAGGCTTAGCTTTGCGGATACTTTTTTCGTTAGTCCAATGCTTGTTCGGATCTAGGTTCTAGCATTTTCCATCTTCTATTAAAACGCTTCCCAGATATTTGAACTTCTGCACCTGCTTGATGTTTATATTTCCAATCTGTTTCTCGCGTCTTAGGCATTTTCTCTTTCTGATGATTATACTTTCTGTCTATTTGCAATTGATAGTTAGTCCTTTTTCCTTGCTTTCTTCAATCAAATTGCCTAAGAATTGCTGAAGTTTCTTTTCTGAGTCGCCCATCAACACAGTGTCAGTTACCTAACATATATTGTTCAGAGTACGCCCACTAGTAATAAATTCTAGTAGTGTTTCCGCCCAATATATATTGTAGAGGGTTATTAAAAAAGAAAGAGCAGATTTTGAAAATGTAATAAAACCAAATGCTATGAAAAAGAAATAAAAACATTCAATAAAATACGAGATACGAAAAATTATTAAAATGAATGTTTTTTTTTAAATCTTGTTTAAATGCTTCCTTTTCTTGGTAATATGTTGAATTGGTTTCTGTCTCTTAATATTTGGGTTTATTAGATTTTCGAAACCTGCAGTTATTATTGTAAATACGACACAAAATATAAGATTTGATGTTTTATGAAACTGTAATGAAAATTTCTGCCACTCCGCAGTATGTTTAAAGACAGATATTACATATTGTTGAAGGGAACGAATTGATAACCCGTGGTATACAAAGAAGTTATATACCTCTATTAACTGGACCGTTCTAGTAGTAATATGAGCATCGACGGACTCGATCACGGGGGGGGGTCTTTCGTTCCATCAATCCGTCAAAACCTCTGCCTTTTGGCAGAGAGGAACACCGAAGAGGCTATGTCGAAGGACAGAATCTCGTCTGCGGAAGTTGACTAACCCGACCCTGTATATGCAGGATCTACGGAAAAAGTTTGCTCGAGACTACACCTCGGATCGCCCCATAATAAAAACCGGCCTTGTGCCACATTCTGCCTCGTGAGGAGGTTGAGTAAATACCGGCTTTCTTTCCAGCCAGCATCAAGACGTCAGACTCTCTGCCTTCGGGGAGAGAGTAACTCGGACGCCGTTATGCCAAAGTGCAGGGTCTCGTCTGGGGAGGTTGACAAACCCGAATCCGTATATGCTGGATCTACGAGGAATTTTTGCCCGAGTCGGATCGCCCCACATAAAAACCGGCCTTGTGCCACAACCTGCCTCGTGAGGAGGTTGGGTAATTACCGGCTTGCTTTTCAACAAGCATCAAGAGGTTGAACTCTCTGCCTTCGGGGAGAGAGGAACTTAGACGAGGCTATGCCGAAGGACTGAGTCTCGTCTGGGGAGGTTGAAAAACCCGACCTCGTTTATGCGGGGTCTAGGGGGAAATTTTGCCCGAGGCTACATTCTCGGATAGCCCAACATAAAAATCGGCCTTGTGCTACATCCTGCCTCATGGGGACGTTGGATAAATACCGGCTTGCTTTCCAGCTTCACTCGAACTTGTAAATATCTACTTGTATTGTACTTGTTTAAAATAAGCCCTTATAATTTGTAAGTTGCCGTTCTAGTTATTATTTCAGTAACCACGCCGGACACCAGTTTGTTAACACTGACTCTACACTAGATACTACTCTGAATTCAAGAAAGTTTATTATGACATTATATTAAAACGGGCCTCTATTCACGTTTCTGGTGTTTGAAATAGCCGACTTCTGAAATGCTCTCCCGGGAAACGTTAATAAATATTCACCAAGGACATATTTTTTTAAAATAAATTTGAAAAATTATACGTAAATTATACGTGGCCTCCTCAGATTTACGTTAGCCAAAGTTAAGAAAATATTTCTACGCGATCACATATCCAACGTTACCGACTGAAATTACACCGAACTTGGCAACAAGCATTGCTAATTATTTCCCCCAACCTGAACCTCAAGATTTGGAAGAAAATAAAAACATAATTAAGCATGTTTAAATGAAACGCTTAATTGCTGGAACAAAATTAAAGTGATTGCCGCATATTTTCTGGATAAATCCTGGTTAATTAAACACTTGTATCTCTTCTCTGGAAACTAGAACATCATATGATAACCAAACAAATTATCAGAATTACATGAGTTATTTTCACTTTTTAAATCGGGAACTACATTTAATACTTGATTCTCTGGGCATCAGGCAAGAGAATATCCAAAGTATCTTTTAAATGCTGCAGTGGATAATAAAATAATTTTGCAAAAATTATTATGTTCAAGAAAATATCTAAAAGAAGAACTGTTCCCGGCACAAGGATGTAGAAACATGGCGACGCGATAAAGTTATCGATTCCCTACCGGCCTTGAAAATATAAGATTAAAATATTCATAAATTTTGCAATTTAAAGGAAAACAGTGATACGAATTAAAAGATAGCGAGAAAATAAACAATGGAGAGAAAGAAGGAAAAGAGACAAAGAGTTTGAGAGACAAAACAAAAGGGAGAGAGAGAAAAGAAAAAGGGAAAGAGAGAGAGAAAGGTAAGGAGAGAAAGGCGGAAAGGAAAAGATAAAGGGAGAGGAAATAAACAGAAAGAGAGAAAAAACGAAGGAGATGAGAGGGGAAGTAGAGAAACAGGGAGAAAATATCTGAGAGAGAGAGAGAGAGAGAGAGAGAGAGAGAAGTAACAAAAGGGAGAAAAATAAAACAATCAAAAGGGAGAGTTCAAAAACAATGGAAATAGAGATATAAAAGAAACAAAGGGAAGAGACTGAGAGAGAGAGGGAGAGAGAGAGAATATAAACGAGAGAGAGAGAGAGGAAAAGAATCAGGTAGTGTAAAGAAAGAAAGGAGAGGTGGGGATAAAATAAATACAGTGCAGGGAGAGAGAGAGTGAGAGAACAAAATAAAGAAATGTGAAGGTGTTAGAAAAGAACGTGAGATAAAAAATAAAGAAGGGAGAGATGGAGAAAAAAGAAAGAGTCAGAGAATAGAAATAGTTAAGAAAAAGGAAGAATGGAGAGAGAGAAAAAGAAAGAAATGAGACAGACATGAAACAAAGAAATTATGAAAGAAGAGAGAGAAAAAGAAAGAAAGGAGAGAGATATGAAAGAAAGAAATTATGAAAGAAGAGAGAGAAAAAGA